AGCTAACTGTCCGAGAAAATTGGTTTTACAGCGAAATTATATAACGAGTTATTAGTATTGAATGGCAATCAAATAGTCCGGGTAATCGAGTTTATGGGTGCAAAACACACACAAATTAAATGAAAATTAAATATAGATTTTCGTTGAAAAACAATTGCAATCATCGGTTAATCGGTTTCCATGCAGTCGTGTAGCCATTGATATGGCATTCAATCGTCTTAATAGTCATTAAATTAAATGTTATTTTATATAAATCAATGTTTTTTGTATTGTAGTACGTTATATATACACATCTAACCACCAGTGTACATTCATTCATCTCAGAGTTTAGTTAATTGCATGCTTAGTATTTTGTATTAATAAATGTTACCTATATAACTTAGATTAATGTTTAGAAAAAGTTATGGATACTGTAAAGTTTTGTATTTTGTTTTATTTGAATTCATTTGAATTGATTTAAATTTAAAAGTAAGTAATATGTGAATTATTGCATTTAAAACAAACACGGCATACAATTATAAAATAAAATTATCAAACACATCCTGTAAGGCAATTACTTGGCCATGAATGTCAACTTAACTTGGGCACCTTTGTTCAGGGACAGGTCAGTGTAAACATTTAATACACTTGACAATAATATAAGAAATGACTGTAAAAATAGCACAAATCATAAGCACTTTTAGTCAAACTTTACAACAAATAATTTCATTCAAAGTAAATATGAATAAAGTGTTACAAATATTCTGTAAAAATTAAGTTCAAGAATTTTACCATTGCTTTGATAAGCATAATCTAAACGTGTATACCGTATAAAGTTTACTTAAATGAACACCTTTTCCATGAGATTGAAACTAGCTAATGGTTAGCCAGTTCATATCCTTGAACATACAGTACAGTACTACCAAATGACTGTATTTTTTGCATATAACAGACCACTGCTCCACCAAATTATTCTCATTATATCTCTAGCAGTCGTGCCGTTAGTTTGTAGGCCTAACCCCCAGTTTCCATACTTTGACACCAACTGTCCATTCAGTTCGTATATTGTGTTTTGTTGGTAAGGCGTTGAATGAAACTTAATTGTCTCATAAACTTCAGTCTCATTCAATCGCTTATAGCCCTTATAGTGGTCGACCAGATTTGGATTCAAGTGAAAGATTATGAGCGGAATGCCTGTCCACGGGAGCCAAACATCACCGCATAAATTAGTCCCATTTTACGACAACTTCGGCGGAGAGGGTCAGTCGTTGGCGAGCTCTAAGTCCAGGAGCCGTAACCGCAATCGGAACCGGCGCTGGAAATCCAAAGCCCGGAGCGATTCCAACGCCTCGTCGTCGGTCGTGGCCTACGCTGAGGGACAGTCGGCTCAGAGACCGCACCCACAGCACCCGCATCATCACCAGCAGCTTCAGCACCGGACCCCTAAGCATAAGAGCGCGTCCAACCCTGGCGTGTCGTTCCCAGACGATGGGGACAGCCATTATCATAGAGGCGGTGGTGGCGACCATCACAATCACACCAATCGTTTTCGCGGCAGAAGTCAGTCCAATGCGTCGGTGCTGTCGGTCCAGCAAAAAGGCGCTCCTTATCGGCCCGACAACTATGGCGGCGATCGTAGCTATCAGTCGTCCGGCGGCCGACAGCACCAGGATTTCGGTGGTCGACATAACCAGCAGTTCCGGAGTGATCGGCAACACGACAGGAAGGACTGGAACAGAGACCGGGTATCCAGAGATAGTGTAACTTAAGATATAATTAACGGTTTGTTTGTTGTACTCACACGCCTTTCCTCCCTCTCCCTTCATCGCACCGGTAGCTCTCGCGCGAGATGTGGCACTTCTATGAGGACAACGCTCAGACACCCGACCTCGTGACCCGCAAGAATCGGTTGCGCGACGCGTTGCACAAGATATTGACCACAAATTTCCCGAAATACGGTCAGTAGGCGTTCCCCATTTGTCATACCTGTGCTGAATATCCATTCCCTCCCCCCGCAGAAATTGAACTGTTTATAGTGGGCTCTTCAGCCACCGGATTGGCGAACAATAAGTCTGACGTCGATATCTGTCTCGTCATGAAAGACTTGGCCGACAAAGTCAAGGATAAGGCCAACGGGGAGGCCAAGTCGGCCGAGGAGTCCGAGACGGCACCGGTAGCTGGCGTTAAGAATGAGGATAAGCGACAGTCGCTGACTTCCACTCGGGATGACCTCTTGGACTCGATTGTTGTCGACGTGGAGACGACTCGACCGGAAGTGGTCTCCGCCACCGATACTAAGACCGACTCCGAGCTAATCCACTACGAGTCCGACTCGGAGAAGCTGAACGTGACGGTCGACAGCACCGACAGCACCGCCGCCCGTAACGACCCCACTGTTCCCATGCTTAAGATGGTGGAGGAGGTGCTCAAGAACTACAGTAATGTCCATACGTTTAGCTGCAGTGATAATACTATTGATTATGTCTTGACTTTGTTTTCGTGGATCAGATTTCGTGACTAATATGCAGATAATTATGGCGAAGGTTCCGATCTTGAAGTTCGTGGACAGGCTGTCGGGCATCGAAGTCACCCTAAATGTGAACAAATTGGTGTCGATTCGCAACACTCTCCTCATTCAGGACTACACCAGAGGTAGGCCACGATTATCGCAGCACTACTTTCTACTAAAGCACATGTCTTTCCCCTCTCCCACCCCTTCCCACCGGACAGCCGACTGGCGCCTACAGCCGCTAGCGTTGGTCATCAAGGCCTGGGCGAAGGACAACGGCATTAACGACGCCTACAACAAGTCGCTGTCCAGTTACAGCCTGGTCTTAATGGTGGTCCACTACCTTCAATGTAAGCGGCATTCCTCGAGAGGAACTCCACTTCACTAACCACTCATCTCATTCCCACAGACGCCTGCAGTCCGCCAGTGCTTCCATGCCTTCAGCAGTTGGACCCAAACCGGTATACCGTGAAGGAGTCGATGCACGCCTTGCGCACCAACCGGAAGCCAAAGCCGTGGCATTCCGTGAACGACGGCTCCCTGAAGGACCTCCTCCTGGGTTTCCTCGACTACTACAGCTATAGCTTCTGCTTCGCGAAGGACGCCCTATCTGTACGCACGGCTCACGTACTGCCCAAACACGTGGTCCAGCGGTACAAGTGTGCGGACAACCACTACTCGCACTGGAAGTTCGTGTGCGTGGAGGAGCCCTTCACCCGCACCAATACCGCCCGTTCCGTCTACGACGAGGTGACCTTCGAGCGCATACTGTCGGTGTTCCGGGTCAGTCACTACACGGTCCGGAGGTATCCCAAACTGGACTCCATTATGACGGGCAGGGACTACACGAACGACTACATGCTGGCGATCAACCAGTACGTGAACGCCGGACCCCTGACCACCCCCACCAAGAGTCCCGGTGCTGGTGCTGGTGAGGGACACGAGAGTCCCGGCGCTGATGGAAAGGTGGTGAAGGCGTCGACACCGACCGGCGCTCGCGACAAACCGGATCCCTCGGCACAGGCGCTGCCCACGACTCCCGATAGACAGCGACCAGAGGCCAGTCCCGCGAAGACCACGACTCCCGGCGCCACTAAAACTGATTAAATTAATTAGTTTGAAATGCTTTGAAAACACTTTATATAACAGTTTATAATATATTTGAATGAATACTCGCTTTAATTGTAACTCATTCAATACACGATTAATAGTAATTTAAGCCCTAATTTGAATGATCCGTAAATAAACTTATAAACTTATAATTTAAATATAATTTAATTTATTTCCGGGTCATTCAAAGTATGGCTTAAACTACTGTTAATCGTGTGTTAAATGCATTAACTATTAACTAAATTGCAACCAATTATGATCACTATTTACTAAATAAACCGTTTTTATCGTTTGATTCGCAAATTACGTGTAAATTATTGTCTATTTTGTTTGGTACTGAGAAATGGGTTGAAAATGCGGGCGAATGGCCCAAAAGGGGGCGAAATATATGCGGACGTAATATGTGGGCAGCGATAATGAGCGCCAATGTGTGGGCCAATGAGCGCGCGTTTGCGTTATGTATGAAAAAACTGAACACAAAAACCTCACAAACACTGCGTTCACAGTCGTATCAACAGTGCTATCATTCAGTGGATCAGCTCAACGGTGATCACCACACAAGACACTCGTCCCCCTATTAGACACACCGGTCATCAGCGCATCACCCGATAGGACGAGACAATGACGAGAACGCCGGCGAAAGTGGCCTCAACTCCGGTGCGGTCGACGTCCACACCCGTCGCCACCGCCGCCATCACCGGCGCCCACGTGTTGGCCACCAAACGGCAGACACTGTCCGCGAAGTCACGCAAACAAACGGATCCCAAACGCCGTGAACAGCCGGCTCTGGGCTCCGGGAAGCGCCGGCACCGCTACAGACCGGGAACGGTAGCCCTGCGGGAGATCCGTAAGTTTCAGTGTACGACAGACCTGTTGCTGAGGAAACTGCCGTTCGCTCGACTCGTCCGGGAGGTCCTCCAAGACATCTACCCGTCCAATGAGATCCGGTGGCAGTCGACGGCCCTGTTGGCCATGCAGGAGGCGGCGGAGGCCTACCTGATAGGCGTGTTCGAGGACACCAACGTCGTGGCCATCAATGCCAAGCGCGTGACGATTATGGCCCGGGATCTCAAAGTGGTGCGCCGTATTAGAGGTCGTGGCGACCCCGGGAACCGTTAGAGTGATGTCTGTCGTCATAGGCATGAGTTTTATGAATAAATGTTTTTTTAATAACTTAATTGTAATCATAATAATCGCTGTTTTTATATATAATTTTGTCTTAAATTTGCACTAATTTTGCCATTAAATACTTAATTGATTTTAGTTTATAATTATTAATTAATACACTAAACAGTTGTAATGAAAAGTTCATTGATGAATAAAAGTAATTATCAAAAAGTCATATGAGTTTAAGTTTTATATTTATTTTAATAGTTTTTTTGTGTACAATAATCCGATTAAACATATGTTTTGCGAAATGATTTATAGTTAGTATTGAAATGAAAACAATTGGTAAAAGTAAGACTGACCTCGCTCACCTTGAAATCTATTTATTTAGGCTTTACATTGAATTTGATTTTCACTGATTTCGTATGAAATGAAAACTATCTAAAGCTTTGCATCCAATCATTCACTGGTTGTTAGCATTCATTGAACACACCGTTTGTAATCACTTTTAACCAACAATTTAATCACTCATATGTTAACTAATTTGTCAATTAATTAAAATTAATAGAAATCTACAAAATGTTATCATTTGAAATATCTTGTATAAAAATGCAAGCTATTCATTTTATATGAGAAAAATTTCACCTGTATATTTTCAATTGTACAGGTATAACCAGGGCACTTAACTTATTATCTACGGTATAGCACTTTTTAAAACTCTTATTTAATTTAACCATAACCATATACTGTATCCAATAAATGTTATTAATAAAAATTACAGTCGTAAATAAAAGGTCATACATAAATATAAACTTGGTCACCCCTAATATACACTTACATAAAATACTGTATAAACTCAATATAATCAGTCATTTGAATGAAAATATGTATTAAACGAAAAGTTTTATTTTAATCATAATTATACAGAAAATATCAATTCATAGCTAAATGGGTGACAAAGAAATAGTCGACAAAATAAGGGCTCAATTCATAGCCGAATACCAGCGCAACGGACAGTTGTATCACGAGATAGACGTGAATAAAGTGAAAGCCGACGACTGGGAGATCCAGAGGTTTGTCACCGAATGGAACCGCTCTGAAGACAAGGCCTACGAATGGCTGATAAAGTCGCTGAAATGGCGGAAGTCATACGGCGTGCACGACCGGTGCGACCAATACTTTCCCATCGAGTTCTACCGGTTGGGCGACAAGGAGTGCACCGGTAGGGACGGGGAGGGACGGCTCGTACAGTGGGAGTGCTATCGCAATGACCGCACAATAGCCGGGTTTCTGGAGTTACAAAAGCAGTTTATGGCTCACGTGGTCGACCGGGTAGACAGTAGGGTGGGCTCTGATGGCTATACCCTGGTGTCCGACATATCGGGCGCTGGCCTACGGAATGTCAACTACGAGTTGATGCGATTCCGGATACAACTCATGGCATACTATCCGCAGGCGTTGAGGCGTATAGTAGTCGTCGATTTGCCCGCAGTTTTGAACGCCTTTACGCGACTCGTGTTGACCCTCGTGTCCACTCATATCAAGAAAAGGATTAAATTTATCTCACGATCCGAGTTGACTGAGTTCGTGGCCGAGGATGCGATTCCTGTGAGACTCGGAGGTAGGCGTCAGGAGATGGGTTTCCCTCAAGAGTTGCAGCCATTGAG